TCTGCAATTACAACAATGGAAATAATCAGTTCACAATCAAAGGGGTTTTAATTTCCAATGAAAAAGACACCTGAGACACTAAGGCTGATTTCTACCAGTTTAAAAAGAAAAAAAGGTTCTTGAAGCCAGAAAGTCAAATTTTGCTTTCAGGCGTGAATTAATTCATTGGATCAGATTTGGTCCTTGAATTGGCTGCTGAAACTTCAACAATGTCAAAGAAAACTTATGCTAAGGCTGGATTTTCACCCTATTAAGTGCAACCTGCCCGTCTGAGAGTTACACCTGGCTCAAAAGAAAGGCCAGGGACTATACCAGTTGTCAATGCAATTTAATCCCTATGAATAACTTAAAACTGTACTATAGTTAATAATTGCAGGACTGCTCCAAAGCCCATGAAAATCAGTTGGAGTTCTTCCTCTGGCACGTTGCTGTGCTTGGGATCAGTCTCATTCTATGAACACAGTCATTGTTAGGCCAGATACTGTTAACTGTGTAACATTTTTACACCAATATGCATAACAATATCTTCTACTAGCATGTCTTGTTTTTGATACACGTTGCTGTGCTTGGGATCAGTCTCATTCTATGAACACAGTCATTGTTAGGCCAGATACTGTTAACATTTTTACACCAATAGGCATAACAATATCTTCTCCTAGCATGTCTTCTTTTTGATAACTCCAGTTACATATTCAGTAATCTGAGCTCTGTTCTAAACTGGATTTACAGTCATGTGCAAACCAGTGCTCATGTGCTTTCATAAAAGGTGCGTAAACTATTGCAATAAAACATGATGAAGTAACCAAGGTATCAGTAAGGGAATGGCTTGATTTTAAGTGAGTGATTATCTTATCACCACTGACCACATCATAAAATATTTTCAAGCTGAGAAAAATATCTCTACGCTTAAATTGTTTCTTATTTGAAGTGCTTTAGCAGCTGCGTCCACACTTTGTTAAAGTGCCATCTCGGCAGTGGCTGGGATCAGTGTTTGCTTCCAGATCTGCATGTCCTCTATTCACATGGGGAGCTTCCAGCCAGCTGTATGACAGGATTGTGGGAATTGAGGGAACAACATGCTAAGCTCAGTGTACTCTGGCACACAGGGTTCTTGTACGCTAGACTCATTTCAAGACTATTTTGCCTTCAAAATTCTGTCACAGCCAGCAGACCTACATCCATCCACCTTTAATTAGGTAATGTGATTGATGCTGATGTGAAATTGAGGGCAAGATGGTATGATGAAGTGTCTTTTGAAAGGCATTGAGCAAGTTCATTCACTGACTTCAACACAAGCTGAAGGCACACAACTCCCTCATTATTTTCCACTGGGCTTTTTATCTAGCCCCGCGTTGCTGAATGGCACACTCAAGAAATGAAAAAATAGAACTTTTGTTACCACTCTGATTACACTAGAGGAGGTGCAGAAGTGATTTCATTTATCTGGGTCTTTTAAAATATTGCTGTATACACAGAAGCTAAGTTAATGCTTCGGAAAGACTCTGTATCATATATTCACATCTTGCTAGCTTAGGGTTTTGATACTAACGCTACAGACCTATAGCTCTAGCTTTGCTCTGTTCTCTGTGTAGCATTAGTTCAAGCAGCTGTCAGGGAGGCGAATCCACTGAAAAAAGTGGAATTAGAAAGCCATGACATTACTACTAGTAACTCGTCTAGATGTTAGTCTAATGACTACATTCCTTACAGTGGCTTAGTGCTTGGTGTTAAGTGATACTGCTTTCTTTTCAGCATGGTAGGAGTTCTTCACACGTTTATAGCAAGAAAACATTAATTATTGGAAGTGCTTTTTCTTATTTTCATGTAATGTTAGAATGTTTTTGGAAGAAATCTATTCCCCAAATTGTCATCCTTTGTTTTCAGTTGTACTCATGCTTTGTAAAACTTGTTGGTGAAGCAAGGCTCTAACTGCTCTCCCATCTGAAGTTGTACACCCCAGTTAGGCCAAATATGAATTACAAATGCAACTGACAGCCGTAACTTAAGGCTTTACATTGTTTCTATTTAAATCAGTAGGATTTTAGCCACGAAATTATGTGAGGACAAGCTATGATTCCTAAAGTCTGTTTTTTGAAAGTGCTGTCTTCTCATTTTAAGTTGCTGTGTACTCTCATCTCCGAGTCATTTTGCAAAGACCAGCCAGCATCTCTGGAGATCAAATACTACAGATCAATATGCCACACACCTCTATAAAGCAATAATTGCCTCAGTGTTCACCAAGAGATGAGGATGGTTAGCACCTCTGAAAAAAGACCGTTTAAATGTGTGACTACAAAAAGGCTTAAAGATAATTTGGTGCTTTTGAAAGTCCCACTAAGCCCTTAATACCTACCTAAATCTGACCTTTATGCTTCCATTTTAAGTACCGAGGTTTGAAAGTTTTGGACTATGAAAGTGGTTTAGTTTGCAATAGTGATAAACTTTATGGGATCTAATTTAACTCATACTTACAAAATTGCCTGAATTCATGGAAGGTGCCCAAGAATATAAAGTATTACCATGAGAAATCACATTTTGATTCATCTTCAGGGTGTTACATTATCAGCTGCACCAGCCTCTATTGGCTCATTAGAAAAGGAGTGAGGACTTGCATTTTAAAAAGCAGGTTTTAAGAACGGGCCCATCCACCTACGTTGGGTTTCAGATAAATAAAAAAACATTTCCACTATGAAGTCACACTGTGCCTGTTAAAAAGATGCAGACATTAAGAAAAAAATGACCATTTAGCAAACACACTTAAGCATTAGCATTGTTGTAGATATGTTTATCGTTATTGCTCTGAATTTGGTTGGAATTTAACAGGCTTTTAATGGCATCATTTTGGAAATGGTTCTGCTTGAAGGAATGGCTTTGTGTGTACGTTTCTCTGTATAGCTCTCGGCTCCTGTACAAAAATTAGCAAACAGCATATTAACAATATCGCCAGAATAGTGATCATTCCCTGGCTGGAATGATGTCGTACCATCCTTACACTTAGTTCTTCCATACAAAGCTTGAGTAAACACATGACGTTTTCATGTTCCCCCTGTTTGAATTCACACGCTGATAGACCTACATGAAAAGGAGAATGGCAGTTCTGCCTCAAGCCACTACGTATGCAAATCTAGGAGAAGCTGTCCTGCTCATCTCAGCAACTCCAAGAGCAGTGGATTCCATGATCCAGACTGCACAGGTTTTCACAGATCAAAACCCAGCGTAAGAACTGCACTGCAGCCGCTACAAACCTTTAGTGTATCACATAGACCATGTCTCAGGCTGCTGTGCTCCCGATCAGCTCAATTGCCAGAGCTGCCGTCAAACACTAGGTCACCAATGCCTCACATTTCAACAACTCACTCAGGCATGGATAACTTCTGAGGCCTGGCAGAGGGCAGGAACAGTTCCAGTTTTCTGGCTAAATGCAGGGGTTTTGTGATTAGCCTAATTTTTCAAAACAGTACAGCCACTTGGAATCACTCTGTATCGAAATAAAACTATTACTGATCTCAAAGAAAGGGTTACATCCTTTTGTTGTAGACGGAGAAAGACTGGAACATCTGAAAAGGCCAGCATCAAGTCAGTAATGAAATGCGAAGTTTGATATCATGTGGCATTTAGGTTTCATTTAAGCTTTTTGAGGTCTTTTCTGGGGCAGGTAGGAACATTCCTTCCACATACAAACAATTAGTCTACTGTTAGGGCTTAGTTTTGAATCTGATATCCATATAGTTCATTATCATTTAATGTATGTGTTACAGTAGCACCTTGATTATTGTACAACTTTAAACACAAGACAGTCCCTACTTCATATTGTATGTAACAAAATGGTGAACATGGTTTAGATTCTAAAAATAAAAAAGAAAAATGGTTATCTGCTCATGAATGACAAATTCTTTAGTGCATTCATTCTAGTCTGAAACCCTTTGTCTTTCTAAAGTATACCATGTAGTTCCCAAATTCAGAGCAATTACCTCCCCCTTCCTACCCTCCTAGTATCACGTTGCAAAATAAACAGTACTGTATTAATTGGAACCTGATAGATTTTTTTTCAAATGGTAATGCAGTATCTTTTTTCTTTAAGTGTGATAAAACCCTCTAAAAGATGCATCTCAGCATCAACAAAATTAGGGAATACACCACATACGTTAAATAGAGGTAAGTTGAGTGCAGAGTCATTTGCTTCTTCAGTTCAACTTTAGATGCGGCGGGGGGTCTTTAGGCAATACCGTCTACACTCTGTGCCCTCCTCAGGTCTGCCAAGATTCACAGTAAGAAAAGCAACAACAGTGGTGGGAAGAATAACTAAGCAATAGTCATACTTCAGATTGTTCTCTGTAAAAATTCATGGGGTTTGTACGACCGTCCCATGCTGATGTGGTCTCTATGTGACATACATGTATATATATGAGCGAGCGATGTCAGTTTCCATCTGCTGGAAGCTTATACCTGTAGCAGTCAGTGCTTTGTTCAACAAGGCTGGGGGACTGCTAATGTAAGATTAAGTTCTTCTTTCTTCATTCAGCAATTAACCAGATTGCTGCTGTGTCTGTGTTTGATTTAATTTTACAATCCTCAAAGGGTTTAAAGAGCTGCTGTCTGAAGCACCTGCTTCTGAAATATTCATGTGTATTTTTTGCTTTCCTTTTTTTAAACTTCCATTCTCTTTTGCAGTACCATGGTTCTCCACACTCCTGATTTTCGTATGTTTTCCTTCAGAGGCAAAAGTTACAGTGATCCTGACGCAGTTTGGGCACAGCCACAAATAGTCTGTTTGTCCTTCCTCTCTATGTCTCATAGTTAGAAAAGCATCATTGTGCACACAGTTCTGTTGATTTCAGTGGATGAATCCAGTTCATCCATCACGTTAGGCAGTCAAAAAACCCAACAAAAAACTCAAACAAAAAAAATTGTCTAAATCCCAAACAGGCATCTTTGGAATCAGTAGTGCAAAATGTTGGCGGATTTCTTTTCCTTGACCTACTGCAATAATCTCTCAATCTTCAAGTCTTTCCTAAAATAGTGGATCTGTAAATGTAAAACATAAGAACAATGGAAAAAAGCAAATATAAAGCTGGGTTGTTTTTTCTTAAATCACTCTCTTTAGATTCTCACTTACACCAAGCCATTATACGTCTGTTGTGAGAGATGTAAACTGTAGGAAGATCCAGTTAACCTAGGACATTTTTCATCTTCCCCAGGCCTCTTTTGCACGGGTACAGCACTGTATAAATGCACGAGTGGAGGGTATTCTTTAAATGGTGGATAATTTGAGATTACGATTAGCTTTTATCAGTGCAGCCTGAGCTCTGTAGATTAGTCTTAAATGGAAAACACCTCCATCAGAGGTCACATTTTAAATGCCAGCACTTCACAAGCTTTGACTATCAGTGCAGCATTTTGGAGGTACTTTAGTAATGAGCTGATAAAATGAGTGGTTACCTCAAGGATTTCCACCTGTCTTTTTCTGTGTGGTTTTCCGGACTTTCACTTTCATAAGAAGCCAGATACAAACCTGGAAAAGGTAAATACGTGTTATTCCAACAGCAACAGTAACCCTCTCTCTCTCTGCATTTTGTATGTCCTATATTGTACCACACAGGACGAGAAACTTTAAAACTTCATGCTGTGGCTTCTGCAAAGGGCTTCTCATGAAAGCAGTATGGATATAGGGGAGGGCATGAGAGAGAAAAGCTGCAAACAATTAGTGGGTTGAGGTCACCCTTTTTCGGTCCAGCAGCCTGAAAACTGTACTTTTAAACACCACTTCTGAGACACCCCTGACTTTCACTTTCTGTCCCTTTAGAGCCTAAAACCAGAACAAATGCCTCCGTCCTATCTCCTTTTGATATGTATTATTTTAATCAAATTAATTATTCTATTTTGGCAGTCATTCTTCTTAGTATTTAGGCAGGATTTTTGAAGCAGTATTTTGTGTTCTGAATAGTCTGTGAAATAAAGACTATCTGGTCTGCTTAACTTGGATTACTACAGAAAACTGCCTATAGAAGCAAGAAAAGAATAAACCCAGCACCAGCAGAGCTTATGGGAATATAGCTATAGACAATTCTGTGTGTGACAATGTACCAAGAGGCAACTGACATGAACCAATATGAAATGACACAGTCTGACATGCTGGATACCAAATTGAAGAGGACACGTAAGTATAAAAAGACAATCAGAGAAATAATTTCAGAACAGGGCTTTCATAGCTACAGCTTAAATTAATTACTAGAAAATACTTTTCTTAAAAATTCTTTTCTGTAGGTAACATATTCTTTGCTGTAGTGGAGGAGGTCAGTGGACTACCATCTCCCTGGGCTGTGTTCACTGAAGAGATGACAGTGTTGGTTTGTGGAAGAGATTAGTTCTGGCTCCATCAGTCACGGAATGAGTGGTTAAGGGACAGCTGACATTCATAGAAGTCCATGCCATGGTTGTGTGGCCTCTTTCCTTGTTTACAAAAATAGGTCCACAATGGCAACTTCCTAGACAGTGCCTGATAGAGAAGCTATGGACAAAAGAAAAGCAATCAGGCAGCAGCTTCATGAGCTAGAAGGTTGTATTTGCAAAAATACGTTGATAGACTGGGGATAAACAAGCTGCATGACAGAAAAGCTAGGAAAGAACCGGGACTGGTCAGTGGCAGAGACCACCAAAGCCTGGATCAGGGTGTTAATTAGTAGTGACGAAGAGACATGTTTTCAGTGATTAGAGATTGTACAGAGTCTTACCATCTTCAGTAAAAATGGGAGCAGTATGCAAGTAGTGGATGATGTTAGGGTCTTGTTCAAAGGGACATTCCACTTGCTTCCATGTTATAAATTCTCCTACTTGCTTAGCCAGTTCCAGAAATTTCTGTAAAAATGAAACGATTCCACTCAGATACAGTAAGATTATCTCACTAAAACAACCACATCCAAGCAGAAGACTGGGATCCAGGATCCCTCATGCCAACCACAAGGATATAAGGAGAAAAAAGCCTTGTGTGTTTTAGATGGGTACCTTTTCACAGTTCATTTACAGGGGGAAGAGAGAGGAAAGGGTGCACTATGTTCCTTCTTACAAGCCAACTCTGTACTTAAATGAAAATATATCCATGAACAAAGTTATGGGTTACACGTATGTACTTAAGAATAGAGGACAAATTTTGATGGAACAGAGGGAGCAGAATTAGATATAAATTACATAAAGTGGAGAGACTCCAACGCCTCACAACTCTTTAGGTCTTGTAACAGTTCTGATATAATCTAAGGTAATGCCAGGCTCAGTATTTTACGCATTACTCACTATCTCACAATGCCAATAACTGAAGAAGAAATTTAATGCAACCAAAGCGATGCTGAAGAAATTATTTACAAAGAATTTGAGAGCTCAAAAACTATTTTCTCATTGACACTGGGCAGTTCTTTCAGAAACACTCCACCTCTGCCCCTCCAGCGGCGTACAAGAACACAGCCGCTGCAATGCATGGCACAATGCAGACCACCCGAGAGCCTGCACACTGCTGCTAGTAACAAGGTGTACTGGTATAAAACCATCTGCTCCAGCACAGAACCGGGATTACTCAGGATGTGTGACTAATGCTACCTAGTGCCAGGGCTGTGAGGGAATATAAATCCTTCTACTGCATTTAATAGAAATTCTTCTGTGTAAAACCTACAGGCAGGAGATAACACATTCGAATCCTTACATCAGCAGCATGACATTTACCTCACGGACACAGTGACTGTGTACTCTGTATGTAATTCTGCTTGTATTCTAATTTTTCTCTAATGACCAGAAGTAATTTATGTCTTACTTTGCCAAACCTCTTTATTAAAAAAGAAAAAGGGCTAAAAAGGCAGATAAAATAAAGTCTAAAGCATTTTATACTGACTTGTTTCTCTCTGTGTGTGTGTATAGGAAAAATAGTTTTCCATGTTTTCTGAAAAAGTCATCTTCCGCTCTAAGCCATAAGTACAATCATTTATACTACTGACACTATATTTCTAGCAGCCAACAGACATCAAGCAAGTTAGGATGATCTGCTTGCAACGTTTATATAAAACATACATATTAATTCTTTTAAAAAAATATTCTGGGATTGGTTTAACCTTCACACAGTCACTTGAGATCGTCCCTTTTGGCATATTCAGTCTTTGTTGGTCTGCACTGAAATTGCAGGCAAACGGCCTCAGATAGTGCTATCAGAATGGGATAGATAAAAACATTTTTCAGATCTTACTTCAAAGTTGACGTGTCCATTTGGAAGGCGATTAGCACATCCTTCATTCAAAAAATAAATGTCTTTGATCAATAGGCTGAAGAAGGGGATCACAATCTGTGAAGAGAAATGACATAACTATTATCTTTCCAATTCAGTATTTTCTCTGCATGAAAGAAGAACTCAATCAGGAGAGAGGAGAAAAAAAGAAATCTTAACTTTTCAGTGTGCTGTGCACTTAAAAAGCAGTACAGTGGCAGGCAAGCATAAGGGCTATAGGATATAGAGACACTTTCAGCCATCAGGAGGATGTACACTGAAATGAATATGAACTGAACACAATGTTCACTGAGCAGAATAACATGAGTAAGAAAATGCTAATAACCCAGTTTATTATCAACAGCATCACTGTTTGATGAACAAGATCAGACAGCAAAGAGCAAAATAAAATTGCAGAACTCTTCCTTTCTCTGTTGGGTCTTTATAAGCAAAGATGTTGAATACACAAATCGAGCCATTTAAAGACAGCTGGGAACCAAAGAACCAGTATTGTCCCTGAACAAGGAAAGACAGAATAAAATTTGATGACCAAAGACTTGTCTACAAACAGTTAATCAGGAGCTGGTTCTTTTTCAACAGCTCCATGCATGGCTACCTCTTGAGGCATGTAATTTCCTTCTTGGTGTCTGATTAGAACAACCTGCTTCTCCAAATTAACCTGCAGACAGTAGGATTGAAAATATTAAGTTAGTTGACAGGAAACTGCCAACAACAGCCAGAGAGATCATTGTAGTGCTCAAAATAAGCCCTGGGCATCATCCAGGGCAAAGTGGCATATAGCAGTGATCCAAGCCTTCTCTCTAAGCCATCAGAGTCAGCTCATAATTTGCTATAGAAGTAGTCTACTTCTAGGTAAGACTCTTAACATTAATGGAATTACAGCAGGGATAAATTTGATGCCAGATGTTCTATGGCAGAAAGCAGCAATAGCGCTCCTGAAGCGCATCCCCAGCACTTCAGCAGAGACCTCTCTGGGTCCTCTTGTGTCACAACTCAAAGGGAATAGAAAGATAACACAAAGGACCAGTCCATGACAAAGGTGACCCCCAGGGCTCTGGGATTCAATATTCAAATCTACCCACCTCTCCAGCACTGGCACTGTGATGGAAAAAGGCCACTTGGCGGGTTTGAGCTATAAGGTCAGCAGCCACCTCTGTGAGCATCTTCCTGTGGCAGCAACACCTGTCTTTTAAGCCACTAAGTATAAACTTAGTCACCATGAACTTAAAGGAAAACACATCACATGGTAGAGTGTCCAAACATTTCCACTGTTCTATTTGTGAATTAACTGAACTGTAGCTTGTTAAGCATGCACCAAAGTTAAAGTGCCTTCATGGCATGAAAGACCAGCCAAGGGAGCAATCCTTTAGTTAAGTATTTAATATCGTACTGTTATTCCATCTCATGCCATACATCAGCTGTAACGGGATATGAAATGGACCTAGAACAGGATTGGCAGCTGTTATTTTCCAGTCTACAGCCTTCACAATGCAACAGTGAGTGTGAGCAAATCATAGACACGAAAACACTTACTGAAGCAAGGAGCCTACAAGCCGCTACCAACTCTTGCTGTGAAAGTGGAAGCCAATTTCTGTTTCAGCTAAAATACCACATGCAGTAAACTGCTAAAGATCTGCATCTCTGCTGGCTTTTTTATGGGACAGCCATAGGTAAACTCTGTAATGTCAGTGCAATAGCCATAAAAAAGCCTGGACTGACACTCCAAGAGCCACTGGCATTATCCTGATACATCCCACTGATATAATATAGGAATGGAAACAAAGCACAGCCTAACCCCCCAAAATCCTGAGCCCTCCCATCAGGGTGAAGTGGAGCAATTTCTAGTCAAACTGAGCTAAGTGTGTTTCACGATTCATTTTTATATCATCCAAACTAGATCAATACAATTCAGTCTATGTGTTTTTTTTCCTACCAAAAATGATGATAATTCTGTAACCAATGTGGTCTTATAAGGTGAAAAGATACAGAGAGGTGGAACCAGACACTGATCCCCAGCTAGAAATTATGGCCAGGTTCTGTCTACATATTTTTTGCAGGCAGATGCGAGCTTGTTCTGCCCTGCTCCACACTGCCTGGGAGCTAGCTCACCATCATTAGTGGTACTAAACATAAACGAAAAGCCTTGCTGAGAGGGAAGGTATATGAATGTGGGCTCAATGCCATGCTAATACAGCTACAAAGCCACCAGTCAGCTCAGAGCGTGGGTAGAGCTTGTTCTCATCTGCATCCAAAAGGAGTCAAAGACATACCCTAGGATACCAATTCTCTACACATTTCCAGGGGATTTCTGTCTTTGGGTCTCCACTTATTTCCCGCATAAAAATATCTTACCCTGTATGTTTTGTTTTCCAAATTTCCGTAGGAAAAGCAACAAAAGTGGATATAGCTACACTCTAATGTTGGCTTCAATCTAGGCCTTTTGCTAGCATAAAATCTGGGTTAGTGCCAGAAACTCACATTTCACTCCCTTTTGATTGCCCCTTGTGCCATCCAACCCACCCACATGCTGAAGGACAATTGCCTCCTGCAGAAAGAAGAAAGCTAATGAGATCTGACATGTTCTTCTCCGTAGTATCAGACGGCAACAACACACACACAGTACTGCACTGTACATGCTCCCAACATTTCAAAGCCAGAGAAATGTCATTAGCACAATGCAGGGTTCACCAGTGGAATGACTTAATTTTGGAGATGGCATAGGTCAGCTGACTGCATAGATAAAGCCAGACTTAGTTCCTAACAAGTACACCCCTCTGAATTCTGCATGAAACATCAGCCCTTCTTCATTACCGGTTCTCTCACCCTGCACTTTGGCAGGTTTATTTCTGCCGCTGTATTGCACCTCTTGCCTTTGAGAGCTGCCTCGCCATGCCTTTTTACAAGCCTGCTCCTGAACAAGTAACGAGCAGTTATAACTATGCCGTTTACACACTGAGAGAAGGGCTGGAGGAGAACAGTGAGGACTGAGGTCAGAGGATCCTCCATGGGGATATATTGAGATCCTTCTCCTACAACCTGTGCTTCCGCCTCGCACGGGCACCCTGAGGATGAGGATGGAGCGGGTGATGAAATCTTTGTGCCAGAAGGCCGGTGTCACAGGGGGGTTTGGGCGAGATGTGTGCGCAGCGCAGGAGGAGGGAGGGTGCCCCAGGTCACTGGCTCACCCCGGCTCCCTCTGGGGATATCATCTAGCCCCCGAGCTGTGCTTCTGTTCGAGTGCTGTTCAAAACTCAGCAGCCAAGACACCAGCCCTGAGGAGAGAATAAAGTAACGTTTCTGGTGAGGCTGCCAGTTAAATATTAGCTCCTCTGAGCCTACAGGCAGTGTTTCTTCCTGCGAGACACAACCCACTGCTTAGTCTCTCGGTCTGCGACAAGAGCGCTCCCTCCAGAGCACCTTCCTTCTCAGGCAGATGGGCTGAGGCCTGAAGCCTCCATCTGTGATTCTGGGGGGGCCACTTGTGGAGAAGAGGGGTGGAGGGGATTGGGATCTCAAACTCTGGTTAAGCACAATTCAATTTGAATTGAATAAAAATTTTCTTCACAGTGAGCTCTGCCCCAAGTTTGCCAAGAAAAAACATTTTCTATCACAAAAGTGATCATCATCTTCCAATTTTATTCAAACTCATTAAAATAAATAACTGATAATCTTGCTTATAAAAAGAAACAAAATTCCTTAATTCCTACAGCAAGAATTACATGATCTGCTGTATCTGACACTGTAAAACACCCAGTGGGAGTAGCTACCAAATCATATACTTGAGCATTTTCTTGAACTAATGTTATCTACACAAGGGAAACAGAATATGGGCTTTTTCTTATGTAAAATAGATTCCTTTCAATCTAATAACCTCTCTGCCATCAGTCTTTACGAGCTAGGGGTAGAGATATGACAGAGATTGCTAACTTCCACAGGAAATTAAGTCAAACAATAAAGCAACTGGTTTGAAGATATATGACGGTTGCAGAACTAAACTGCAGAAGCATCTCAGACTGACAGGTCCTCGCTGCAGCGTGAGAGTTAGAAGAATTTCTCTGCCAGTCACAAACGTCCAAAGCCATCATCTTCTCTGCACAAAGTGCTTTTCAGAACAACTCAGTGTACACTCCCATTGCAGCTGAGTCAGCCTGCGACCAGATGCTGATCTCATTTCACTGCAAATGCTGTAAGATTCCATTAGCTTCAGCAGATTTACATCAAATTTACAGCAATGTGAGATTAGCATCTGGCCTGGCTCCTTTAGTGAATGAATACTATATCCCATATTATGCTTGTTCATGCAGTATCTACCTTAGCCATGCTCTGCATAGAGATTACCCATTTACAACTATGAGCAATCGCAATGCTAAAAACAAACCCTCTTTCATAAGACAAAAAAAAGAGAATTGAATGGAGAAATAAGAAAATTAACAAGAAACACACTGAGGCACAAAACAGGAGGATCCTGCGCTAACCTCTCGTCAGTCTGATTTTTGCAGCATCAGTGACATCTCAGAAAGCTACATATCTGCCATGAACACTGATAAAACACTTCAGTTCTTGTTCACCAAGATGGCAGCAACAACCAAATGAAATGAAAATTCACGAGGACAGAATTTCACCCCAAATTTGCTGCAATGGATTCAGACCAGACTTCTTTGCAGGACTTGTTTTCCCTAATGTAAATGGAGAACCACCGCATCTCTGAGAACCACAGCATCTCTGAGTGCCGTGCCCTTTGCTCTCTCTCTCAATCACACTCTACACAATAGGGGCTTGTCTGCACAGAGGCCTGGCTGGCACAGCTGTAACAAAAGCGCAGTTCCACCTTGCTCCACACCAAAATAAAAGTCATTTTAGTCTGGAATACCTGTTCCATCAGGTTTATCAATCTAAACAATGTGAATTTTCCAGGGATATAGAGACTTGCAACAAAATCCTCCCTGCTGTGTGTCCTGCCCTCTCTAGCTCCTCAGTGTCTGTGAGCCCTGTGATCCATTTCAGACTCCTTTCAGCCACAGATTTATATTTCCAATTGCATTTAGCAGTGCACGAGCCTTGCATTGGTGACCCATGGAAGGGAGGAAAGCATTTGCATCAAGTCCTTGAGCCACTGACTCTCAGCAGCAATGCACACCATCCATTTGGAGATAAACGAGATGTGGTCACACCTACCTTCTCCCTGTTGCTGTGTGCGGTGAGTGACCTGTGAGCAGCCCCCCGCAATGCTGTTCTGTAGTTATAGAAGTTACCAGTAGGGTCCATCTGGTGCTAGATACACAAAAGAAGACACCTTGGTTGGAAAGTGACCTGGGTCCTCTGAAGACAACTTTACCCTCAGTTGTAGCAAACCCTGAACAGAGCCTAGCCTACATCTTCAAAAATCCACATACACACAAAACCCCATGAACCACAGGTACAATGACAGATCCACAGATCATGGCTGTTTGTACCTTCAATTCTTCTAGTAACAGCTTACTGAGCTTTTATGTGAAGAATAAGGACTGCACATTTTGTATATGCCAAATCCTGGTATCCTCAATACAAAAAACAACCTTGGGCCTTGTTCACTCGACGTCCAAGGTATAGCTTGGGAGCTTTACACTCAGTGTTGTGTCTGTGGCCAAACAAAACTGGCATCGGTGGAAGCACTATGGCTTGCATATAGGCTTATATTTTGGGGTTTTTTCCTCCTTCTATTTATCTGAGTGCTGTGATTCCCCTCTACGTATCAGCGGCTTCACACCTTCCTCACTACACCTGGGAAACTTCAGCCAGAATCTGGCCCTCTGCCTGTGAAACATGTCTACAAACATTTCATACCTGGATAAAAATGTGAACATTCACAAACAAAAAAAATCCAGAATATAATTCAAGCGGTGTATCAGCACCATTTTTTTTTTTTTTACCTCAAGTATGAAAAATTTCGCTGTTTTCACTTTTGACCAAGTCTTCTTTAGCCTGGAAACTGGACTCATGTTCATTCCAGCTATGAGTGAGAAAGAAGAAAAGAAAGTCATGGATCAGGGTCAGGTTTCCCCTTTTCATCCGTGGCAGCTGATGGAGAGACCTGGTTAGAAGCTGTACTTACAAATGATTGCCATCAGCGAATTAAAATTCCCTATGTTAAAGCACTCTCGGGCAACATCAATGAAGAATTCGATGACTTGTGCTCGCTGTTTCTTTTTTGCAGGCTGCAAATTAAAATAAACGAGTATCTGTAATAAGCATATGCAGAATTGGAGGGCATCTTAGGTATTTGTTACACACAGAGCAGGGGTCCATGCGCAGCTTGGGTCATCTGCTGTCAGTCACTGCCCTAATTCTGTTCCAGCAATCCAGTGGATGCTGGTGACCGGCAGTCTCTAAAATCAAAGCTTTCATTGCAGTGACACAGAAGAAATTCACAGCAATTCCCAGGCTTGCCTCGCGCTGGGACAGGCAGCCCGAACGGCCCCGAAGCAGTGCCTCAGCTCCCTGCTGGCCTCCCTCAAGTCAGTGGGCACGTCAGCACAGACCTTCCTAAGGGCAGGATTTCACACCCATGTAACAGCAGCATCTTTGTCCCAGAAAGCCTTTGTTTCACAGCATTAATCCCCTTCCCCTCTTCTGGCCCTTTCAGCAATATGGCCAGGCCAAATGGTAGCTTGCATTTTAAATACACATTCTAATTGGACTGGAATCACCCCACCTTTTCCAAAGATGATCTTCAAATGGTAATGCTTTTGAGTCACGGGCTATCTAGGCTGTTTATACTATTACTATTCCTCCCTTCCACCCCCTTTTCAAAGGAGAAAATATTAATTTCATTTTGATGGGGCCAAGTTAAACAAACTAAAACCACTACCAAGTTAAAAAACCACTAGTCACAGCTACAGTAACGGGCAGCAGGACAAAGATCCATGCAATGGGAATTCATAAGCACAACAGAGCTTTAGGATGACAGATAACAAATACTGCTCCACTAGAATCTTTTCCAGCAGAAATCTCACAGGACAATTCAAGGCATTTTTTCCTCTCTTTTTTCCCTGCAGGGTTCATTATTCCTCACTGTGCTCCTACTACATCAAGAGAACCATGTATCCCCATGTGTCACCAGGTCTGTTTTGCAGTATGTTTGTCATTTATCAGGTTGCTTCTGCAAGTGCAATATTACTAAAAGTTACCGTCAGATCCTTAGCTAGGTCATAAGAAATAAATTCCCAGGTCTGCTTATTAATGTACAATCTCAAACTGGGAATTCAGGCATGTGATAAAACATGCCACCTACTTTTCACTTACCATGCAAATTTCTGTGGCTACAAGATAGCAGAGTCTATTGAACCATTTCACATAGGCCTCAAGGTTACTCGTCTTCTTCTGTTCACTGAAACAAGTCTGGGGGGAAAAAAGCACAGAAAGACATATAACTGTGTTTCAGTTAGCTGCCTGATCGCTAAGATAAATACTACACAAAGGTAATTACTTGGCCACATCTCTCTCATGCACATGGAAGACTGCGCATTAAGAGTCCCTTTCAAAAAGTCAGGGAGTAGGTGGGTGGCTGGCAGACGCACAGGGTCCAGCTGAGCGTGTCACACTGCACGGCTCACGCTAGTGTGTAGAAAACAGCCCCATTTTGCCTGCAGCAAGTGTTCACCAAGAGTCTGCACTGACCCTTGCTCACTGGGATATTAACAGCCGGGGCATTGCAGGATTCAGACAGCAACAACGACATGCAGAAAAAGCAAGACAAGCACAGTCTTCCACAGCGTGCGCAGTTTGTGCCTTTGATTCCAGGACTTCCTTCACTTTAGTAAATGCAATCACCCACAGCCCTTTTCTGGAGGAGAGAGGCCATAATTTAGTGAAGTGAACAAGAGATAAGCAAAAGAAAACACAGTTCTAGTTGCTTCTTTATGGAAAAAAATATTTCCCTCATTGAGTTTTCAGGATAATAGGCTCTCTAGCGACCAGCTCTGTCTTGATGGCTGCTCTTGAACAGGTCACTTACTTGCCAGAGATACTTCATTGATAAGAGCCATTACAAGAAGAACATTTTTCACTTTTTTTATATGAAACGTAACATAAATTCCCATAACTGATACAGGCTGTGGGAGCAGATACTTGGCTGAACTCTTCGGTTCCTTTGAGATCAACAGATAATTTGACTTCAGCAGAGTGATAAGGCAGTTCACGCAGCCTGAAGATGTTGCTTGGGATTATAAGAATTCAAATCCTTTTCCCAGCCCTAAATTCTTAGACTGTGCATCTAGGACACACTGCTCTCTGGAGTTCACGGGATTTATTTGAACATTCATTAACATCCACTAGAGGGTATCAGAGAATACTGATTTTTTGTTTTATTAAGATGATATTTCCCAGAGCTACGATAAATACATGCCACTAAGAAGAAAATCACAATGCATAAACACAGATCCATTAATGTCAATGGGATTACCCATTTATGTAAGTTAAACAAGTGACTAAAATCCCTTAAGAAATGGGGCTTAGTATGATTCCCAAGGTAATTAAAGAAAATATTCACCTGTGATTCTGTACACAGGCATGTTTAGAAACAGAAATCACAGTACCATGCTATGGAGCAAATCTTAACAACCCTGAAATTCCTAGCCACTTTGTAAGTAGACTACATATACAATAAAAAATATATTTTAAAAGCATCTCAAAGGTAAATGTCAGCAAGCAGCACGTAAATATCAAACAAAACAAAGGAAACCCAAAGCAGTCCCAGTCTATCCATAGCAGTTGCTTTTCTTGCGCTCTGTGATATTGTTCCTTGTTATAGCAAAAAAGTACATGAAACCTAAGTTTTGTTCTGAATATAGTATTTCCATCTCAACACTGCTGTGCTGCGCCAGGGCATAAGAACCACAGCTAATACCACAAAACTTGTGAAAAATGTGCAACAGTTAAAGTTGAAACAGACTGCTTTTTAAAGGTTAAGCTTTATAAATGGCAACAATATTTAGCACCTCCCTAGCATCTTCCATCTGCAACTCAAAGTGCTTGATCAACATTCATAAGTGAAGCCTTTTGAAGCCCTCATGCAAGAAAGATGTTTAATATGATCTCCAGCTGGAGGGAATTCAGACCAGAGCCAATTCCCTGTGGTTAACAGGGGTGGTCTCCACGGGTCGGGGAATGATATGTCACTCCACGTAAGGTTTGTGCTGCTACATACCATGTTCCGCCAGGTCCCACGCGATCCCTTGGCTATACCTTACCCTCATGTGGAGGCTCTTCTAAATCATTGCTGGGATCTCTGGTTAGCCCAGTCCCAGCTCTTCTAAATCATTGCTGGGACCTCTGGTTAGCCCAGGGAAAGGGTAGAGAAAAGTTGCAGACTACCTCTGCTTTCATCAGCCTTGCTGACTTGAATTCCAATAATTTGTTAGTGCCATGTCTTGTGTGAAAATATTATGGCAGTTTTTGCTTTACTAAGTAGATCCTCCTGGGGGAAGACATTGCCTTGAACTTAAAAGGCAATGCAGTGGTGCATCCCTGCTTTGCGCCTGTTATTTTCTCTGTTATTATGCACTTCATTGAAGTCACAGAACTGTTTCTGGGCAGCATCTCAGTGTTCAGATCTGCATTTGAAGAACATGCATAACTGTCAAATAGCTTGTCATAGTCTGTCAAGATGATTTCTTTGGATTTCCCATGACATGCATAACTGTCAAATAGCTTGTCATATTCTATCAAGATGATTTCTTTGGATTTCCCATCCCACCATTATTTTTAGGCTCTCCGCCTCTCATTCTAATCCCTCCCGTCCACCTTAGCTGATGTTTCCTTATGTTTACTTGGTAACCTCAATTTCTCTTCACATCTTGGTGGTATCCTGTGCTGGCCCTGCATTTGAAAGTCTAGACACAGCTACAGCCGTTGTGCGTACATTAGTTTATTATTGAACATTTCCTTCTTTCTCTTAGCATCCCTTCCCTGCTAAAGCATAGGCTTTATGCAGTTTGATTTTACTCACTGCTGCCTCCCTCCCACTCTTCCAAAATTCACTCAAATTTAGTGCCCTCATTTGATCTCTTTCATTTTACTTCGATACAGATAACGACGACTGTTCATTTTCAGTCTTGTCCCTCATGTTGGCAGCAGACTGCTGACATCTCACTGTGGTTAGTTTGATATTTCATATTTCTGACACATCTTTGCTACCTTGGGGTTCCTTCCTAAAGGATGTGATCAATGCTCGGAATACTTGAAACACCATCTATGCCCACTCTCCTCTCCTTGAAACCAACTGCAGAATCTCCATAACTCCAATAAGAGAAGGAAAGAGCCCAATGTTGCACTTTTTATTCATCCATCCATCCATTTTTTCACCATTACAGGCTATTCTGGTGCTCTCTGGGCAGAGGTCTTCCTGTTGTGTTCAGCACCCAATGATGAAATTCTGCCATTGATGTATGATCTCAGTGGGAGCCCATATGCAGTTCTGGGGAAGAATTTTCCACCCTCTTTCTTTTCTGGCAGTATGTGAAATCTCCGACTCTCCCTCTTCAGCCAGGAAGTCTCTTTCCTTATTGAGGCACTCACTGAAATGCTGCTTCAAACCCCACTGGAATCAGTGGCAAGACTCCAACTGGCTTCCACGGACTTTGGATGAAGCCCTGATCAGGCACTCCATTCCCTGCGGTGCTCTGGGTTAAAAGCTATTGTGTAGAGAGAGAAGAGTATGTTGATTCATGACGCACTGACTCATTACTGTGGTGTCTGGGCACACACTATGGGCATTACATCACGTCCAGAGTCCTTACGCCTTCAACGCTGGGAACAGACGTTCCCTGGTTGTGTACCGCCGCAAGCCATCTGCCCTGGTCAAAGCAGGTTAGGAGGAACAACCCAGAAAGTAGAACATCAGGGTGCTGGCCAGTCTCAGGCTAGGACATACTCCCACCAGGAAGGAATGGCAATGACCTGCCAGTGCAAGCTCTATCAACAGGTCCCATCCTTGCTGTGAGAATAGAGCTGGCCTGGCCCTGCTCTTATGGATCTCATCACATCAGTTCATCTAGAACAAACAATGATCGCAGGAGACACTTTGCACGTGGACAAATCATACCTTGGTGCCATCCAGAGGGTCTTTATGTACAAATGCCTGCACAAACTCCTCAGGTCCAATGTGACTTAGCCTTTCCTATTAGAGGGGGAAAAAAGAGAGAGAGGAAGAAATAAGAAAGCACCCCAGAATCTCTTCTGTTTCTCTTGGTAAGACATCCCCATTATCTGTCAGCTCTGAATGGTGTTACTGAACTGGTAGACAGCCAACTAGCACAAGACATTAAAATTCATAAGAACAATTAGAGTTATTTCAGCAGAAAGAAGAAAATGAGAATAAATATGTCTCATTAGTGACAAGCCACAGAAAGAGCCCTCTCCAGAAAGGTGCTGGATACACAAAGCTCCATCTGGGAGCCAGCAGACCCCAGTTCTGTGCTTGGCGCTGCCACAGACCTGCTGTGGTCCAGCATTACTCAATAGACTTGTTTCCCAGCTGTTAAAATGGCAGTAATGCTGCGATCTGGTAACGATAGCAATCCATTGCTCATCTGCACACACAGTGCTCTGACCCCACCTCCCTACCCAGTGAAACTCAGGTGATGCCCAAGGTGGTGGCTCTGTGCCATTGGAGAAGGAAGGCATTGAAGATGCACAGGCTTACTTTAAAGGCATTGCTTACACTGTAGAGTGTCCCAGGCATTACCCAAAACAACAGTAAATAAAACATCCAGATTTCTCTTAGTAAAGAACCATCCATCTCCACCAGCTCCTGAACAAACCTGGCAGTTCTAGCCACACCACTGGCCTTCTTATTAGGCTTTTCAATTCCCTTAAACATGTTTATTAGAAAAAAGTATTTGTTGTAGGCCACAAAGCTATTTCAGAGGAGATATTATGGAATTCCTACAAACTTAAGAGCACCCAAGCAACAATAAAATTAACAGTAGTTTTGCTTAAATGAAAACTTTATGGCTATCCCTATGCTAGTTCTCTTGGCTTCTCACCTTGCCACTGATAACTGTATAGGACTCTTACTAGCAAATAACTGTTATTAAATAAATAGCAAATAATTCTTACTAACAAATAAGCTTCAGTCAGTTTCAGTGCAGAGTAGTTGGCGTACTGGATGCAGTAAGTAAAGAGAAGGTAGAGAGCATTGATTACAGTAAAGTGGAATGAAAACCTCTAGCTGCATCAGTTTTAAAAGTGCAGTGGTGCCCCAGTTAGAGGGTATCTCCCCTTGGAAGATAATTGTAGTGTGGAGGAAAAGAAAAGCAAGAAAAAAAACCCCAGGCAAAAGGACTACTCTCTGTCTTAAGTTATATAAAGTGAAGAGAGCCAAAGTTACATGTTCTGAAAACTAACCAAGGTGAAAAGATGATCCTAAATTTGGGGTTTCTGAACTATTCCACTTCTTGACAAATAGAATATCAACTACCTTCAGAATTCCCAAGGCTAATTGCATGATATTCACTCCAATCCACAGTCCATTTCATGGTTTGTTTTTCCAGCCTTCCTCTCAAGGATGAACATTGTCTACAGGAGGACAGGCAGCAGGAAATCATTACAGCATCAAGAGATCTGCAGATGGCAGCAATGTTTTATGTTCTTCTGTGAACATCCAAGAGGTCTACATGGCAGACCTGAACCTGGGAGAAGGGTGTGCAACACAACAGTCTGTCCAACATCTCGGTACTGCAATCGGAGTGATTACCATCAAAAGCCTGTTTGAGAATGAACTGCAGTCCAAGGAAGGAAACAGCAGGACTTCGTGTGGGTGGTATTTCCACAGCCTTGTATGTCCATACACAAAGTCCCAAAGGGAAGAATGAAAAACACATCAGACAACTCAGATGCTTTCTGTATCTGTAGGAACGGATTTAACTGTTAAAATTTCTTCCAAATCAATAACAGAGCTAATGACCAGCCATTTCAATAGCACCCTCAGGTTGTGGGGCTCAGAGCACCTTACAGAAGTGGGAACCCCTTGACCTTCCTGTGACTGTGACTCACATTTCACAAATAAGCAAGCTGGAAAGGTAAAGTGCACAGGAACACTCTGATATACAGCTTGCTTCCCAAGCACCTCTTAACCTGTCAAACCCTGCCTCCTTCTGCAGTGTTGATACAGCACGGGATGTGCTGCAGCAGTGCAGACATTTTTTGGTTGTGTCTGGAATACTTAGCAGATGATGGCTTAAAATAATATCTCTGACTGCAGAAGTTGGGAACCATTCCCACTTACCAGCTCCACATGTGTCAGCTGCTGAGCCAGAGTGTAAGGGTCACTGCAGACGCTCAGGATTTCTCTCTGAATTGATGGAGGTTTACTTTTAAAGGCAACCAGCTTATCAGAGACAGCAGCACTGATCTTGACAATCCCTTCTTGCCCATGGCTGAGGCTTGCAAGCTTCTGATTCAGGGTTTGCAAAAGCTGATTCATCTTTTTCCAGTAGGCCTGGAGAGACAGGGAGAGAAAGAAACATAAACCACCCACAGAACTTGACAAAGGAGTGTTTTTATGCTGAATTTTCCCTTCTGCAAAATACTCCTAAGCCAGCAACAGGTTACCATTTTATTTTCAACAAGCCTATTTCAGAATAACCAGTTGGCTTAATTACAGTTCTGTGCTCTGGACCACAGAAACAGACTGCAGTCAAGAGAAGAGGCAGGCAGGACTGGTGGGTTGGGCTGGCACTGATACTCGCATATTCCTGCCAACATCAGGATCAGAGGAGAGGTAATGCTACAACATGACTGATTGCAGCTTTCTGGAGCACAGCAGCATTCAGTACCTATCCTTTATGCCAGCTACGTGTTGGCCGAGAACTCTACCTGTTAGTGGTGCCTAGTCAACTCTTATTTATTAGGAATAAGAAATGTTTCTAACACTATTCTCTCCATCCTTTTGAGCTGAGAGCAGCAGAAGCATGCTGCTACTTGCTACCTAGTTGGAGTGGTCTGAGCATCATGTAGCTTTGAGTATTTAATATCCAAAACGTTACCTGCTACTGAAGGAAGCTCATAGCGTATTCCAAGCACAGCCACATGCTCAGCAGGATGATCGTTACTAAGTTGCTCAGGTTGTTCTCTGAGCTGGAGCAGCTCTTTACAAGACAATGAGTGGAGCCGCTGGCCATGGAGGATCGGCAGAAAGAAATGCCTTCAACTCTTCATGGCTGACAGATGCAGACATCACCAGAGATATCTGGTGGATGGCCTCTAAAGACAAGGACTAATTGGACAAAAACCTCACGTAGAGCACAGAGCGTACCCTGCTGAGGAACACGGCCTTTCCCAGCCAGAAAAAGGAGCATCAAGCATGGGTGCAATGGGTACTTGCTTAATTTCAAAGAGCACGGTCACTTGGGAAAACAGTTTGCAGGCTGCCCTACTACCAGCTCCTCTTCCAGCACAAAGACTCACAGTGGAGAGAGATCCTCTGGCTGCTCACAAGTGGAATAACGCCTCACTCTCCATCCAAACAGAATTTAGTAACGTCAAGTTGCCAGTAACATCAGTTTGTAATCTGTCAGTGTTAAAACAGAGCTGGCACGAAGCCCTCTTCTGTTACATCTGTACTGCGCAGCAGATGTACACCCTGGCACCCTCCATGCAGTCCTCATCATCACCACAGGGACTTGGCCAGAGCGTGCCTTCCCATGAAGACCAACACACACCTGTGTTGCATCCCAAGCTGGATGCAGCCCAAGTGAAGTCTTGGGAAGTACTCCTGAATCCCACGGTTTATATACAGCCTTTGTCTTCTTCAGACTTTTGTAGACTGTGGATAGTCTTCAGTGTTAGGCATTGACAGCTCTCCTGTTTTAGGTGTTCAAGGTACCAGAAGCCACAGTCAATGCTCTTCTCACCTGCGCAGGATCCCATGTGCACACTGTAAGTTGCATCTCCTACTACTTCACAGTGAAGAATAACATGCTCACATCTACCCTGTTTCCATTACAGTCTGAGGCTGGAAACCTTCAGAACATCCCAAGTGCTTCAACTTTTGCTGCAACACCATAACTTTCATACAGCTTTTCTAGCAGAAGGCTTAACATTGCTGAGGAACCTCTCATTTCACTCGAGGAAGATGCTCTCTTGAGCAGGGCTGGAACACAGGCCAGATAAGCAGGACGTAGTCAGGGTTTTTTGCAAAATAGAGCTGGCAAGTCTGAAATGAAACAAGTACCTAGAAGGCAGGAGGGACTTGTCTGGGAGAATGACAACACGTGTCATATTCAGAAGCAAGTCACACAGGAGTAGTGAAAATTGAGTGAGGAAGATGTAAAAATAAATAATTTAAATATGTTTTAGAAAATTAAAAAACATTCTTTCGGTTTTTATCTATTCCTGTTGTATACTAGCTCCAAGGAAGAGAGCCTACTGGCCGTCTACATGTAAATCCTCATTAAAACAGATGGTCACACTTTTGACTTACAAAGACTGTCCTGGACCCAAACTACTGAACACCATCTAAATATTTCTCTGGTTTACATCCAGGTGTGTTTGCAAATCTCAGCATAGCTTATCAAGGTCTATGAATAGAATGTTATTTTTTAGTGGAAATTTAAATAGAGACATATTTGGTATTTTGTGAACATATTTTGTAAACAGGGGAATTAATCTTGGGCAGGGGGGCAGGCACGGCCCAGAAATCCAAGTCTTCTACAGAACATAAAACATTTGGCTAAAAAACTTTTAGCTGAAAACCCAGTTCTCTTTAAAAAGGCGTTTGGATGAGAAATCTTGGACCAGCCGTGTCTGTGCGGTATGAAATTCTTCACTGTTTGGATGAAAAGCCAAAAAGCAGCATAAAATTGCTTGAAAGACATGCATATTAGCCAGTCTTTCAATAAATCCTTATCAAGAGATCTAGTTTCACCTAGTTTTGTAGGGAATACGGCATAATAATACAGATATAGACAACAGTAAATAAAGACACAGGTAAGCCAACCACCTAATAAAGAATAAAATAAGAGAGACACTTAATGGACACAAAAAAGATTATTCAGAAATTAGAGCTCTTGAAGAGACTCACTGAAAATCGTTTGGTTCCCCCCTGCCTAGAAAGCTTTTCTGTGCGTATTGGGAGAAAAATTAAAAAAAATCCTGCTTTTGTCCTTTTAAAAGCATTTCCTGCCTTCTTTAAACTATGTTCACTAAGTGAAAACAACATTGTTCATTACCTTCAACATGCTGGTAATTACCTTGCCACAAAGTGACTCCCCATTGTACAGGGGCTGCATGCTGGACTCTATCAACCGATTTCACTTCATTGTCCCATTAACAGTCAAAAGAAGCATACTACTGTTTAATATTTAAAGAAAATGTTTCGTTCTTAACTGGGAAAGTTCCTCTGAAGACAGCAGGCCTCAGCAGGTGGCTTAAGAACTCAAATTTTAATTAAAATTTCTAACTCTAAATGCAAATCACAGCACTTACTAAGAAATGCTTCTCAGCATGGACACCTTTATAAGCACATCACAGAGCCTTTAGAAAGTGGACTCTACAAAGGACAGGAGCATACACTGCAGGGGAAAATCCTGCATTAACCTACATGGACTAGATGACCTCACAATCTTTCAATCTTTAATTTCTATGATCCACAATGGGAACTACTTTCTTCCAAACAACTAATGGGCACCACCACTCTTTCGTGCTGTCCCTTAAAAAAGGAAATTTGCATTTGCAGGATATGAGCTGTTTCTTAAATTAATTCTTGATTTAAGAATTAAATCAGGCACAATCACTTGCAATTATAGTGCCTAATAATATCTGAAAAACAATTATTTGCCCCAAAGGGCACCTATAAGCATTGGTACACAGCTAGGCCCACTCTAGAGCAAAGATGTGCAGCACTTGCTCAGGTTAGGCAAATAAACTATTGCTTTGTATGCAAAAAGTTGACTTTTAGCTTTTATGGCTCTTCACCCGGGCAGCTACTGCTTTTAAAGAGCACCCATAAAGCCCCTGTTCTCTGCCCTTTTGGCTGGTTCCTCCTTTCCAGTGAACATGATTTTGGTGGGTCCGTATGGGTTTCTCTCACTTCAGGTGCTGAAGGGCTGCAAGGCACCTTTCTTGGTGGTTGGCAGGAGCAAGTTCATTGCCTCTTCCCCTTGAGGGAGAAGTTTTACTGCTCTGGTCAACAGAACTGAGGTCACCTTGGCTCCTTCTGAAAGTCCTTTGTGTTCCCTTCACCTCCACCAAAGTGTCACGCAGCTTCCCCTTCCCACCCCTTCTCTCCCACGGGCTGGCCAGCCCAGCCAGCCTACAGCCACCCAAAAGTGCCAGCCGTGATGCCAGCCCAGCCCAAGAGCAGCTGTTTCCATTTCTCTCGTGTTTCATGTGGGTAGGAGGGTCCAATTTCATTTCCGTTGTTCTGCAACCCTGCTAATTCCTTCTCTCTTCTCTCCACCCCTCTCTTTCTTGGACTCACGGGTATGCGCTTTTTGTTCTACTGAATTGCACCCATCTGTGGCCTGAAGCCAGGCCTTGATGTAGCCAATGGAACGGAATTCTTCCACATCCCATGGTTAACCTAAAAGTAATTAGAGACTCTTTATGCACTATTTGCTCTTATCCTTATTATTTTCATGGATTTTGTGCTATTTTTAATGTTTCTGAATTAATTTATGGGATTCACCCACCTGAATTTGCAAGCAGGTCTCCCAGAGACTCCATTCACTGTGTCCTACTCTGCCACACACATGGCTCATGCATTTGAACTCCAAGACCATACAGCCAGCCATCTAGACTGAGTTTTGCCCAGCAGGCGACACACTGCTGTCTTCTGCCACTTCCATGCTCCCAGAGAAGCTACATGTCCATAAACATCTGTATTTTCTTTAAATGTAAGGCCTGTCCCTTGCTATCTCACCACATCAGCCAAAGAGGCTGGATTCAACGGGAGCTATCTCTTGGCCCACAGATCCTGTGAACTTTGATGGGGATTCCAGTGGCATCAGCCAAACTGTGATCAGAGTCTGCTGCTCTGTGCCTGCTCACCTCCTGTCTGGGTCCCTGCTTTACAATATCAGCCAGCTCAAGCATAGGGCCCGTGAACTCTTTTACAGGGACAGGGAGGTGTAAGCCAAACCCTTGTTAGATTCACTAATGAAAAAGATGACAAAATGCAAAGATTCTTTCAAAAAAATAACCGGACTGAAGACATGTAAAGTAAGGAATGGAAAATTAGATTTCGGCACAGGTGATCAAGGACAAAAGCAAATGGAGAAGGTGAGACAGAAAAAGGACCATAAAAGCCCTTTGGTGGTTCCACTTTCACAACCACTTGTTTTCTTAGAGAAAGGAAGCCTCCACCAGGTACCTTCAGGCAACTGATGATCTTTTTTAGCTCCCCAATGCAATCACTTGATGACTGGCTGCTTGCTCCACTCCCCATTACTAAACTAAACATCCTGGAGCGCTCCCTGAGCCCCTGCTTGGCCAGGAGGGTTGGTCTCAGGTCACAATACTTCACTCCTCTGCTAGACTGTAACTTGGCAGATCACAGCTCCGTTGCTATTTGAATTGTGACCACCACATTCAGTCTATGCTATTCCTCAGATCTCTCATCTATGAAATGGGAATGTTATTCTCTTACAATTCGATGTGTAGAGATAACGTCCACTGATCACTCCAACGTGTCCCCATGTCACTGCCACAGGGGTACCTAAACTGGGAGATGTGGCTTTCAGGGAAGCTACTACAGGTTTTAACCATTAGAGGAAAACCAAGCTGTGAGAGTTCCCAGAAAGAGGCGTGGAACAGAACGTGGCAAAAGGAGGAAAAGGAGGAACCAAGTGGGAAAATGAATTTAACATCTCCACACAACATCCCAGGTCAGACATCCTCACCTCATCACACGGGGCTATCCTGTGAATCATGTCTTTTAGATGGCCAATCATCCGCTCTTCATGAAAGTCATATGGGAATGTCTCTGTCCACTCTGTCAGCAACTGTAAGATTTTGGGTCCAAATTTTCTGATCCGAGCCTGAAATGGAAACCAGAATGATGGATAGGGATTGAAACGTGTTTACTCGTTAAAGTCTCCCAGCAATACGTATGTCATTGAACGCGGAGCCAGATTTTCAAAGGCGGCACTTACCGTTGCACCTGCAAAATCTGCACACATGCAAACAAATAGTGTGGCGCACAAATGATACATTTTGGCATGCAAAATATACCAGTACTTAGAGGCATGCACAATTGTCTGGTTTACATGCAGATTTAAGTATTCTGCACGTGCAATTGGCCGATTTATGGTTGGATGGACATTTTGTTGGTGCAACCTTTATACTTTTTTTAAAAACATCTGGCCTTTTTGCTGATTTGAACCATACATTCTTTCCTTTTGTACTTACAACCCTCCTACATTTTCATCCTTCCCTGAAAAATTGATTGGAATGTATTTCTTGACCAACAAAGAGGCGTTTTTTGCTTCTTTGCTTTCTGGCCATATGAAAAAAATGCTTAGTGACCAGTGGCAGATGTAACATGAGGAAGAAAAGATGGACAAAACACCAGCACTTTAGTAACTTTACCTGGGCTACTGATAATGTTGCTCTCTTCCCACATGAGCTCAAGGTCATGATAGGACAAGGACACCCACTCACATAACAGACAGCTGGTGCCCACTTTGCTTTTGGTGTAGATTTATCTGAGAATGCAGCAGTGGGAATAGTCAGGAAGATATGGGGCAAGGAGGGAAATGTACGGAACAGCACAATTGGTGCATTAGAATTATCTCAAAAGACGGCCAGTGCAGCTGCTTCCAAAGCTTTCATCCTCCGTTATCCAAGAACACGTGAAAAGGAAATTGCGTTCAACAACAAACTGCATTTTTATTTACAGAAAACACAGACCAAAACAAACACCCTTCTTCTGCATCCTACGTACTGTAGCTAAAGCACACCCTGTAATCAGGAAAAATTATACTCTTGAGCTCCACAGCTCTCTGCTTTTCAACCAAGGTGGTTAAAATGCATATTTCAGCTTTCCACCAACAACAGGTTTCAATGAACCACATCTCTAAAAATAACGGCTGTCAGCTAGCATTAAGCTCACGCTCAAAGATCAGCAGGTGGCTGCTAAAGGGAAAGCTTTATTGGAAACTACAAAGGTCTGAGGAGACATTTGCTCCAGCTATGTAAACTGCTATTACGGATTGAAGGAGAGGACTTTGTGCAAGTCACAGGACACGGCTTGGGGGACGGGAGGTTGCTTGTGTCGGAAGTTTCAAAGTCAGCCCCACTCTCAGGAACCCAAAATCAGCTGTGTCCCACCAACTCCGCTTTACTACAGGCTAGTCCAAAATGCAGACTCACCTCAGGCAGATTGGGAGATCTGTGTAATACGATAATGTTTCTCATTTCTTGCAAAGTTTAATGAGCAACAGAACTTTGCAATGCTCACATTTTAATCCTCCTAAATTTGCATCAGAGAACAGAACCCATCACACCTCAGAAAAAGTGTTTTGGATTCTGCACCTCATACAGATATTTCTATTAACGGAGACTGTACGGGCAACCCAAGTACCTATGTAGTCTGGCTGACTGCTCTCCATAGTGAGGGCAGAGCTCCTCCTGTTACTCATGCAACCAGTTGCCTGGGCAAAAACAACCACACATGTTCAGATGTTAGTGATTCAGTATTTGATGCCAAAACTACTGTTTCAAGGCTGGAAAGGCTGATCTTGAGAATCATTTCAGATTTTGGGTGTTTTTGGAAAGTTGCGACTAAGGCACGTTCTTGTCCCCTCCACTGCACTGAAGATGCATCTCCTGCAGGTAGTGTACTGGACAGGTCTTCATCAATGCACTGAGGAGAGCTTGGGTGGAATCCAGCAGTGAATAGGATCCAGTGGGATCCATCTCCACTGTCTGTGGAGACTGCCAGAGGATGCATGTGTGTTGTTACACACTGTATCAGTCTGCACAGTCCCTAGGGCAAAACAGGAGGCGTGCCGACGCAGTAACAGCTTGGATTTTCTCATTCTGTTAGCTTGTCACAGCCTCACTACTGCTTCAACTCGTTCCCGGTGTGCCAGACAGCGCCGCTCTGCAGCACGGCTGTGCGGACGATCTGTCAGTGCCAGCAACGGGAGGTTAGTGGGTAGCTGCATGCTGTTACGTAGCGTTCAAAGTGACAGGTAAGGCCAAGAGGAAATATTGCTCAACCAGAAGCAAGAAAGCAAAAGGGCAGACGCATTAAGTAAAAACGGGAGAGTGGTGTGTCGACATCTGCAATTGACAGTGTGTGAATTTTACGTCCTACCTCCTTGCATCCCTCAGGCTTCATCAGAGCCTTAAAGAAGTTAAGAAGAAAAGTCATGTGGGAGGGCTGAGACAAGGGGAAAGGGAAAATTAGAAGAAGATTTTAGGTGACTAGTGCCTGGAGCACTGCTCTTGGACATGGGTACTAGGGTGCCTCAATGTCAGGATCTCAGTGGCAACCATCATCCTTTATGAGAAAGTTTCATTCAATCCAAAGGGAGGCAAAAGGACACACCGCAGAGCCCCAGAATTCTCTGCCCATTGAAAATACCTCACATTTTTCTGCTGTAAAGATAAACTAACCTTGTCCAGCACAGGGTCATCCAGCCGCTGCTGCTCAATGCACTTGTGACAAACTCGGGACAAAAGCTCGTGGGGTTCGATGAAGAGTCTGGAACTTTTTCAGGAATGTAAAGATATAGGCTTTCTGTGGGAGAAAGACAAGCAGATCCACTGTAAACAGCTGCACAGTGGGTAATATTAGCCATAAAAGCCCTGAACTCCATGGTTTTTGCATTTCCACTGGGACAGACCTTTACGTCTAAAATTATTCCTGACACTGAAAATGGAACTGGTTACAGTGGGTGCAGGAGGCAGTGGCATCTCCTTCCTCCACAGCATCCACTTCCAGCCTTTGGTTGCCCAAATGCTGTGCAAACATCAGCAAAGACAGTGTGTAGGCCGCTCTACAGGAGCGAGCCCAGGTATAGGAGACAGCACAACCAGGCATGCACGGAGGCCAGTGAAAGCTAAACGTGTGTAGACACTCAGGCACCTCTGTGTTGTACGGGGTTGTGAGCTGCAGACACCCCCAGATTAGTCACATCTTGCTATAGCCCTGCAGGTCTCACCCAGCCTGCTTTAGTAGAATAAATGAAATATTCCTTAACTCCCCCAAATTCATTTCTATCAGCCAAGCCAATCAGATGCAGTCCCACAACTGTGAAGCGGTGGGAAGCAGGCCTGTCGGATAAATCCTTGGATTATTTAAAGTATTCCAGCAGTGAATTTAAAATATAGGCATGAATCCTCAGTTGTTTGCATCCTGACCCCTCCCGGGGCCTGAATTATCTTCCCTCCCCCAGACCGAGCCATGCTCCTGAGCAGCAGGTATAATATTACACATCACACATTGCTTAATGAAAATCTCACAGCCTAATCTGTCCATTACCTATTTTTATTGCCTTTCTGTTCTTTTTTTTAATTGATATGCTTCTTTATTACTTATTTTTAGCTGATCAGAAACTGAGCTGCTGGAATTTAAAACGTGCTGTCTGCTCTGCATTGATAACTTCTGCAGTCTTCTAAACTGCCCAGAAGTCAATGCTACTCTGCGCTTTGAAATATGAGCCTTTCCATGGAGATATATTACCACTTAAAAGTCTTCCAGTCAAACTCCGTCCTGAATTCCACTGAGGATGTGCAAAATCCAGTGAAGTCAATGGCTTGCGGGACCATAAACCTGCTTCCAGTTTAGATCCTCACAGTGTTGGTGAAGAAACACTGAATATTCACTGATGGAGCAAGGGTTAGGATCTGGACTGTGCTGTCCAGTGACTGCAAAGTTGGTGGGAATATAACCCTAGTAAATTATGAACCCATCAGAAGCAGCATCTCTGTTGTCACCGAGGGAACAATTTGTACATGCAGACAAAACTGGGTGACTTCAGCAACTACTGAAATTCAGCTAATTTAATGCAGTTCAGACTTGAAGTTTTTTGCTTCAGTCTTCATCTAAACCTCTCTGGGATGCACTGCTATTTTTGAAGTGCTCTGACTGCTATATCACTAATTCATCACCACCACAGCTTTTCCCCCCTCACCCCATTCTCTTATTTAAAGGCAGTATCAACTTTGGGATCTGCTTTTTCATGGGAACAATTATAGAGCAGTGAAATAGCATTTAAAGCAATGCATCAATTTACCAGCTTTAATTGCACGCAGCTTTTAAATTAGTCTTTTTAATTCAAAATTTAACACATTTGCACTTTTGCATAAAGTGCTGCCCCAATTCATCAAAATTAAACTGTTTATTATAGTGTGAATTGCTTACTTCAGGGTAGTAATCAGTGGTAGGTATGAGATGCTGGATTAGAGCATCCAGAGATGCTGAGGTAAGGTTTCCATCCTGGAAGATCAGTCCTCCTTGTTCATCTTCTTTTGAAGTATGTAGATGAGGGCTGAAGCCACATGGGGTAAACATACTGGTAGAACTCAGCGTTTGGGGCATGCCTTCCTGCAACAGACAGAAGCTCATGTCAGGGACAAGATCCACCAGACTCACAGCCACATCTGTCTTCTGGCTGAGTTGAAAAACACCAGCCATTAATGAGAGCTTCCTGTTCACAACATTAACATGATCACTTCATTATAACCTCTTTCATTGTTGTCATTGGCAGATCATGCCTGCAATGGGAAATACACAGGAAAATGGGACATTTTGATTTATGTTTTTGGGCCAGAAAGGGACATCAGCTGCTTTGGGCTCCCACCCCAATCAAGAGTGTCTGCGATGATCCCCTTTTTGCTACCAGCCCTGGTCAGTCCCACGTAGGAGAGGCAAGATACTTGGGACTTGAATTCAGCAGGTTCCTGTGCAGAACAGAGCTGTTCGTTTGAACCTCTGTTCCCCTGAGAATGAGGCAGGGAGAATTTAGGGCGAGAGAGGGAGAGAAAAGGGGTGCCACCCAAGGCTTGCTCAGAATGGACCTTGAGAAATGCTCTGTGGCTCCCTCGGGATAGGAGAGGTATCAGAGTGAGTGAGGGGTAGCAGCAGGAGCAGAAGTCAGCAGGAGGAGGATGGAAAAATGAAGGGAGTTGGAGGGAACAGAGAACGTGGGAGCTGAAGAAGAGATTAAAAAGCAACAAAAAGAGAAATGAGGGAGAGGGAGAAGGCAGACACCTGCACTATTTTTGGAGCCTGAAGTTAGTCAGTGCTAGATCTATACTTAGGCACCAAATAAATGTTTCAAAAAGACCCTGAGCACTCATCGACTTCACTTGAGATGCAGAGTCCTCAGCACCTTTGAAAAGGAGGCCAGACAAACTCGGAGCGTGTAGCCCAGTTTCAAGCTCCCTGTATTATCAGTTCCCTGGGCTCTCCAGGTTGCATTGTAGGCTCCATCTCAATTTTGTGGCTTACAATCAGCTTTTAATGTTTCTTCTGTTGAGCAAAGTTGGTTTGTTCCTGAATTGGTGCAGGGGGATGACGGATTTTTCCCTGAGAGCGTTAAAGCATCTCCAGCTGCCTCTGAAATCCCCCCTAGAAGCTGCTCCGCTCTCAACAAGAGGCAGCATTGTAGGATGTGGCCTGGGAAAAGGACAGTGCGTGCTCAATCCCAGGTCAGCAAATATATCATCCAGAGCAAGGGACCCCTCTGTGGCCTGACAATTTGCTTCTAGATTTGATTTTACTTGGTGCAGGGAGGATGGGAAAGAGATGAAGGAAAGGAAGAGTCCTAGAGCCAACCTCTACTTCTCCAAGTAGCTACAAAACATCTCCCAGGACTCTGGCTCTCCCTCCTGAGCATAACCTCTGTCTGCCAGAAGAGCAAGATCTGCACCCCGCAGCCTGCTGAGCCGGAACCGACCTCCCACGGAGGAAGGCACAGGGCCACAGGCTGACGCTGCCTGCTGCTACGCCTCAGCCTGCCGACTCGTCCTGCCCGCTGGTGCTCAGGCACAGGCAGTCAGCAGATATGCCTTATTTTCCAATATATTTCTCTGCTCTGTCCTTTACCCTGTTCCATCTAGTATTCTGCCTCTTCACCATCCCACACAACTTCAAAAGGTGCCCCATGGATTTGGCTTAAAAACTTGAGTTTGCGTTCCTCCCTCACATATACCGGTAAATGTGCTGTGACCCAGACAGTCAGCTCAGCTTTAGTTACATGTACAGTACATTGTGTTTACTCCTGCAAACATTCTTGCGTGCAAAAGCACCTCTCTGCCTGGCACAGCCCATTACTCCCCCAAGCTCCGGCTGCTGCACCTTGCCAACTGAGAGCAACCTTGGGCCGCCGAGGATGAGAAGGGCAGCGTGCCTGTAAGCCAGGCAGGGTGTGAAGCCCTGGGAGAGGTTGGGAGCTGGGTCCCAGCACCATGGCAGATCAGGCTTTACGAGCAAAACTTGGGTGACTTCATCCTTCAAAGGAGGGACCGTTCCC